CTGGGAGAGGGTGTGTCCGTTCATGGGCGGGGCCTAGGAGAGGGCGGATCCCATCAGGGGCGGAGCCTGGGAGAGGGAGGATCCCATCAGGGGTGGGGCTAGAGGAGAGGGCGGGGCCTGGGAGAAGGTGTGTCCCTTTGGGGGCGGGGCCTGGGAGAGGGCGTGTCCCACCAGGGGCTGGGCCTTGGAGAGGGTGTGTCCCTTTGGGGTGGGGCCTGGGAGAGGGTGGGGCCTGGGAGAGGGCGTGTCCATCCAGGGGCGGGGCCTAAGAGGGCGGGGCCTGGGGACAGGGAGGGCGAGTCCACTCGGGGGCGGGGCCTGGGAGAGGGTGTGTCCCTTTGGGGCGGGGCCTGGGAGGGGGCGGGGCTGGGAGAGGGCGTGGCCAGGGGCGAGGGCGTGTCCCCTCCGGCAGCCGGGCTCCCGGGACCTGCGTGTTGGCGCGTCCGGGGCCACCCCGCGCCCGGGGCCCGCGTCCCGGTGCCGTCAGCACCGCTGAGCGCCTACTGTATACCGTTCGCTTCGCAAGACGGCGGTGGGGCCCCGGGGAATCGGTCCAAGCCTCCCTGGCGGAGGGGACTGGGCCTTGGGGGTGAGGCCCAGTCACAGGCAGGACCCCAGTGGAGGCTGAGCACGGGGTGAGGTCCGGGGGGAGGCCGGGGTCGCCACGGAAACCCGCACCCCGAGTCCTGTTTCCTTACTTGGAGTCCGAGTCTCGCTCTGTCGCCCGGGCCGGAGCGCCGTGGCGTCAGCCTGGCTCCCAGCAGCCTCCAACTCCTGGCCTCCACCGATCCTCCTCCCTCAGCCTCCCTCCCGAGTATCTGGGACTCCCACGCCCGCCCCGGCTGGTTTTTTCCTCTATTTTTAGTCGGTCGATCTATTTCTATTTCTAGTAGACACGGGGGTCTCGCTCTCGCTCAGGCTGGCCTCCGATTCCCTGCTCCTGAGCGATCCTCCCTCCTCGGCCTCCTGAGTCCCGTTCCCACCCAGGTTTCCGGAGCTCTGGGGATCCCCCCCCCCCGGGGCCGGGGCCTCAGCAGAGGCCCGGCCTCCTCCCTGTCCCTCTTACCCCGACGCACACAGGACAAGCTGCTGGAGAGCCTCAACAGCAAGGTGCTGGACGTGTACCGGAACTGCGTGGGGCCTCCGCAGGAGGCCAGCCTCGGCACTGTGCAGATGCTCACGGTCATAGAGCACCAGCTGGACGAGCTGCTGGAGAACCTCGAGCACGTGCCCCCCGCCCGCATCGAGCAGGCCGAGAAGGCCAAGGAGAAGGAGCGGAGGCTGCGGTGAGGCCCGATAGGGGAGGCCGCCTCCCCCAAAACCAACCAGGGAGGCCTCGGCCTCCGTGCCCGGGGACGCGGCCACCAGGCCTTGGGGACAGGGGGCTACAGGGGCTGGGAGTCAGGGACACACGGGCCTTGGCGAGCCTCCTCGTTCCGGCTGGGGGGAGGCCTGGGGGAGACGTGGAGGCCGGGAGTGGAGGCCCTCAGCCCCGGGAACTCCAACTCGCAGGGGAGTGGCGGGAACAGGCGCGGTGGTGGCTCACAACTGTCGTCCCGGCACTCTGGGAGGCCGAGGAGGGAGGATCGCTATAGAGGCCAGGAGGTCGAGGCCAGCCTGAGCGAGAGCGAGACCCAGTCTCTACTAAAGAATAGAAAGAAAATCAGCCAAACAAGTAAAAATAGAAAAATAAGGAGCCGGGCGTGGTGGCGCATGCGTGTAGTCCCAGCTACTCGGGAGGGAGGCTGAGGCAGGAGGATCGCTCGAGGCCAGGAGGTCGAGGCCAGCCTGAGCAAGAGCCAGACTCCATCTCTACTAAAAAAATATAGAAAGGAATTAGCCAGAAGAACTCAAAATAGGAAAATAGTAGCTTTTGCTGGGCGCGGTGGCTCACACCTGTCATCCAGCACTCTGGGAGGCCGAGGCGGGAGGATCGCTTTGAGGTCAGGAGTTGGAGGCCAGCCTGAGCAAGAGCCGGAGCGGCAGAGGATTTGCTTTGAGGTTCAGGATTGAGGCCAGGCAGAGGCTGAAGAGCGAGACCCCGTCTCTACTGAAAAAAAAAAAAGAAAGAAATTGAGCTGGACAACTAAAAATAATACGAAAAACAGAAATCAGCCCCGGGCGGGGGCGCGTGCCTGTATCCACAGCTACTCAGGAGGAGGGCGAGCGGGGCAGGGGATCCGCTTGAGGCAGGAGTTGGGAGGCCAGCCTGAGCAGAGCGATGACAACCCGTCCTCTACCAAGAAAATATGAAAAGAATGAGCTGCGACGACTAAAACAATATAGAAAACAATTTAGCGGGCGTATGGAGGCGCATGCTGTAAGTCCCAGCTACTCGGGAGGCGAGGCCGAGCCGGGAGGCTCTCTAGGAGGTCAGGAGTCGGCAGGCGCTGTGAGCGAGGCTGGAGGCCCCGGCGCTCCACTCCCGCCCCGGGCGACCAAGCGAGACTCTGTCCCCACCCCCCAAAAAAGAAGATCGCCGCGTGGGCGGCTGTGGAGCCGGGCCCCTGGCGGCCTCGAGGGTTGAGGACTCCGAGACGCCCGCGGAGGCCGGGGTGTCGCCCGAACTCGGCGCCGCTCCTTGAGGTCCTCTGGTGCCCGTGGGGCTGGCGGAGCAGTGACGACAGGGATTGGACACAGCGGGCACGGACGGGGTCGAGGGCAACGGCTCTGGCGCGGAGGCCGATGGGAAGGGCCGGCCCAGAACGGAAGGAAGGCGAGGGCGCGGGGGAGGAGTCTGGAGTGCTCGGAGAGGGGACCGGATGAGGGGTCGTGGCCGAGCCAGGGGCGGGGAGGGCGGAGAAAAGGGAACAAAGAGAGAGAGGCCTGCCTCCTGAGCGCACCCCCGCCCCCCGCCCCCAGACACGGGAGGAGAAAGGGCCGGATGCAGAAGCAGCTGCAGGAGGAGCGCTTGCTGCGCGCGCAGTGCCGCGCCAAGGCCCGAGATCCAAAGAAGAGGTCGGGCGGGCCAAGGGCCAGGGCGCGGGGTCAGGGGGGCTGCGGGCCAGGGGCGGGTCAGGGGGGGCTGCGGGCCAGGGGCGGGTCAGGGCAGGGCCAGGGCAGGGCTGGGGGAAAGGGGGGGGGTTGTGGGGAAGGGGGCGGGCTGCCGGTCAGGGGCGGGGGGCGCGGCCAGGGCGGGGCCAGGGGCAGGAGCCAGGCATAGACAGGGCGGGCCACCAAGGGAAAAGGGCGGGTAGGAGGCGGCTAGGGGCGGGTAGGGGTGGGGTTCCCAGGGGGGGCTGCGGGAAAGGGTGAGGCGGGCTGCGGAACGGGGCGGGGCGGGGGCCGGAGTCAGGCCAGGGCTGCGGGGGCGGGCTGGGAAAGGGGGGCGGGGACACCTGGACCTCAGCTTGGAGACCAGAGAAGCCAGGCCGCCTCTCCCAGGCCCTTTCTCCTGAGCCAGTTCCGCCCCGCCAACACACAAGTCCCATACCTTCGTGCCAGGTCCCCCGCCAAAACACACAAGTTTCCCCCGTCCTCTGGTGCCCAGATACCCCCTCGACACACAAGTCCCAGCTGCTGGTGCCAGATTGCCCCCCGCACGACACAATCCTTGTCTTGGTGCCAGATCCCCCCGCCAACACCCAAGTCCCCGTCCTTCTGGTGCAGATGACCCGCCGACACACAAGGTTCTCCAATCTCTGGTGCAGATTGCGCCACCAACACACAAGTCCCCGTCCCTTTGTGAGATCCCCCCACCCAACACACATAGTCCCCCACCAAATGCCCACCCTAGATGGGGATACTGCTCAGTCCAGTTCCCTCTCTCCACTTCCACTACCCTGTGCCAGGTGCCCCCGCCAACACAAGTCCCCGGCCAAAGCCACCGTGGCCACCTGCCCTTCTTTAAGTCCTGGGTCCCCGTATCTCCACCTGCTGCTCCCTTGCCAGGGTGCCATTTCTTTT